GATGGGTGTGCGCGCGTGTTGTAGTGCGTGTGTATGTGTGCGCAACGTGTATGTGTGATGTGTGGGTGTGTGTGTGTGTGTGGGTGTGTGTGTGTGTGTTGTGTGTGTGGTGTGATGTGTGCCTGTGTGTGTATGTGTATGTATATATATATATAAATGTATGTGTGTCGTGTGTGTGTGTGTGTTGTGTGTGTGCGCGCGCGCGTGTGTTGGTGTGGCGCTCGTTTTGTGGCGTACATGTATTTGTGGTGGTGTGTGACTGTGTGGTGTGTGTGATGGTGTGTGTAGTGTGTGTGTTTGTCCTGTGTGTCGGTGCAGTGTGTGTGTGTGTGTGGGGCTGTGTGTGTGTGTGTGTAGGCGTTGATGTTTGCTGCCAATAGCGGTCATACGGATACGGTCACAACGTTATTACGTGAGGACGCTAACATAGATCACGCGGACGTGAATGGCAGGACGGCGTTGATGTCTGCTGCCAATAGCGGTCAGACATCGTGTGTCACGACGCTACTAGCAGCAGGAGCGCGTGTGGAGGAGAGTCGCGATAACAATGGCTGGACAGCGTTGGCGTGTGCTGCCGACGGCGGTCACGCAAGTATTGTGACAAAATTATTGGATAAAATAAAGGCATGGCTTCTTAAGGACGTGCAAATAGCGTACCAGGTGGCCGTAGGTCGTGCCCGTAAGGTCACCATCAACGACGGCTATAGAGAATCCGCCGGCGCTATACTGGCTCACCAATACTTTGTCAGTAAGCTGCTCAACCATTGTTATTGTAACAGCAAATCTAAGATATTACCCTGTAATGTCAGTGGTGTGACGTCACTGTCTGATATATGGGAGACGCCAGGCTTGGGAAGATTAGAGCATCAGAAGGAATGCGATAAAATGCGGGACAACGTGCTAGACCTGATGGAGCGAGTCTGCAATGAGATGAAAGTCGTAGACAGTAACTTCTCCTGCAGGGCCATTCTGATAGGCAGCACGGCCAACTGCACAAAAGCTGGTCTGCCGGACGAATACGACTTCCTATTTGAAATCGATATAACAAATGTAATTATTGAAAACACACATACACCTGGCTTTGTAACAATTCGCAAGGAAAAATCAGCCCCGCTTAGTTCGGTAAATCAACAGGAAAAATTTGTTGAGGTGTTATGCCGAGCTGTTTGTGAAGTCATGAAAAACGGACAAAATTTATTCAAACTACAAAAAAAAAATATTTTGGCATGGAACAAAGTTTGCACCCAAATAAAAATGATATTTGTTGGCCGCGGACTTTTTAGATTTCTACGTATATCGATCGATGTTACGCCGGGAGTACGAATCTCGGGCAAGCCAGCTGGCGCAACAAACTTTCCTGTCTTTCCTCATTGCCACTACCACGTGGTACCCAAGCCTGGCGTGAACTCAGATAATACGCACTGGTCCGTCTGTACGGCAGTAGCGGAAAACCATGCGATCAATAGTTTTGATAAAGTTTATCGCAATGCTCTAATCACAGCAAAGGCATTTCTTGATCCTCGAGTACACGGTTGTTATTTTAAGTGTGAAAATATATCGAATAAGGATGAGTTGCGTACAGACAGTAACGTTACACGTTTACGTGCAGCAAACATAGACGTTATTCAGCTGTATATCGCCACTCGCTTTATGCCTGGGATACTGATCGACTCCTACCATTTAAAACTTGCGCTGCTTCATGTCGCATCATCTAACTCAGCGGATCCGTTGCAACTCAAAGAAATCGTAAGAAAAATATTTAAGTACGTACAATCGTCTATAATTAATGACAAAATGCTGCAACCTTATATTGATAATTTCAATGTTTTGGCCGAGGACCGCGGTAAAACAATCTCATACGTGCCGGTCGCGTATTTGCGTAAGCGGCACGTAGATGAGTTACTGGAACGTCTTGATAGCGGTTCGCTGGTGAGTGAGAGTGGACTGAATTTTAGCGCTGAGGAGCTGTGGAAGAAGATAGAGGAGTCGGTCAGTGAAGCAGAGCCTAAAGTTGTAACAGATATCAAGCGCTCGTTTATTGACGCTTGTATTGTACTGGGAAACGTTGTTGTTTTCTTTGCTCCAGCTTCGTAGCAAAAATAGTAAAGACAATGTAGTCGCAGAATTTGTTCTTGAAGACTGACTTTATTAGTAAAACACAATACAAAATATATATACACTACGGTAACCTAGGTGACCGTGCTTAGGCATTTTCTGTTTTCATTTCTGTTTTCGTCCATTACATCTCCACTACATCGTCTCTCGTCTCTTCTTCTGGGTAATAACTAACTTGTGATCTTTCGTCCGTGCATATTTATACGTTTCCGAAAACCGCCCGGCGACATTTTCAATTCGACCGGTTTTTCGTCATTATCGGCCAAACCTTGGCTCGTACGTGTGGCGCGTCGCGTCACCCATCCCCGGCACAAGGCAATACGGGAGGCGCGCCCGTCCATTGTCGTCGCGCGTTATGTGCGTAGCGTCTTATGCGCTAGGTGTGACGTGCCAAGCGTCGCATCCTGTCGCCACCGTTTGCTGAATACAATAATTGGAGCCTACTGTCTGACACCTCAAATAGATAAAACAGGTTAGAAATTGCTGGCTGAATGCAGCTTTCAAACCTTCAGCGGTCAGGGACTGTGCATTAATTAGTTAATAATTAGTATATTTATAACATTTGTTCAGACCAAATTTCGTATATTTGTACCGTTTGTTCTAAGCGTTACCCAATGACCTTGCTAGCGTGCATAGGATTGACCATAGTTCGTGTTTTAGTGCTATTGGTTAATAATATGCACTTGAGAGTATCAGGTGATAAGGAATACCTGATAATACGTTTTACGAGACTATGCGGACACGAGTAACAAGAGCGGCTATGTGGTTTACTGTAAGGACGAGTTTGTATGTAATAATTTAGAGTAAAAATAATCAAGACGACATATAGAATTTGTGTTCAACTAAAGAAATATATTGTTTACAAACATACAGTCGCCGTCTCGTCGTCCCGTCCTCCCAGTTCCAACAGTTCAAATGCGCTCCCGCTCTTTATATATAACTTTCTCGTCCAATCACTGCCAGCTCAACTCTACCCCAGCCAATCACACACACCAACACTTTCTTATTCGAGTAATTACGCGCGAAATGCACATATGGCCAGCATCTGTACAAGCGCCACCTAACGTCTGTAATCTATCTGCTAGTTCCCCAACCTAACTATTTCTGATCTGTATGCTAAACGGTCAATCCTAACCTATGCCTCTACATTTACTATTTCAATTTAACATGTGCAAAACAGATGTTACAGTACACGTAGTACATCCACGTTTATAAAGCCGCACGATCTGATGGCAGTTTATTGATTGGAAACGAATGTAGGGAAGCTGCTAGCTTGCAGTGATCGCATTAGTGGTTACGCGTGGATGTATATGTAACACCCTTTGCTAACGTCTATTCGGAATCATATTGTAAAGAATATAACCACACTGGTATACGTATTCAGTAATTCTCTTTAATGGTTACCTCTTAACTATGTATAATTCCATAATCCCATAACAGGGCAAGCGCGTACACCAGAGTTACGCGAGACACGTCATAACTTACGAGGATTAGTTTGTGACGTACGTTATCTAGCAAATGTGCAGTATCTACGTATCGTGCTCTGTCTCTCCCCGTCTCTCCCCTCGGGCTCTCTGTCTGTATCTCTCACTGTTTCTCTGGGTCTCTCTCTCTTGCTAAGCAAGACATTTTATACCCAAACTGGAGACCCGCCTACCTATGGTTTATACTCAACCTGCTATACGCGACTGCATGTAATTGGTTGGCTCTACTAACTGACTAGTCCATGGTCACGACTTTACCAGGAAAGCAAAGCCTGAAGATGCATGTAGCATTTATCAAACGCTCGTTTATTGATGCTTGGAACCTACTGTCTAACACCTGCGATAGATAAAACCGGTTAGAAATTACGGACTAGATGCAGCTTTCAAACCTTCAGCTGTCAGTGACTATGCATTAATTAATTAATTATTTATTTATTACATTTATTTATTCATTCAATTATTCATACTTTTATTTATTTATTCATTTATTTATGTATTACTTGTTGTAAATTGTTGTGATATCACAAGTACTTAAGGATACTCTCCACGTTGTGCATGAAATTTCATCAATTTTTCGTTTTCAACTTTATTCGATGGCTAACACTATGTGCCACCTGTGTACATGCTAATTTCTCCATATAACGGTACATGTGAACTGTCAGAGCGTTTTTGCTTGCCCGCGTACATGTGTAGTAAGCAGCGGCTGACGTCATTATGACGTCAGATACATGATACAACCACGATAATAATGACTAAGCCGGTATCATTAAGCGTCAACCCTGCTACAGCTGTCATTAGATAGATAGATACCCAACTAACAATCGGAGGTTTTAAAAACATTTTTAAAACTGTAATGTTACGTCTGTCTGTGACAATCACTAACAAGTGACAACAGGGTTCAAACATATAACGTGTAATCTGACGATCCGAATGTGTACAATATGGCGAACACTGCCGAGCAACTGATGACTGCGCATGTGTTGTGCGCAAGCATGGTATAGGGGGCGGTCCTAATAAAGTACAGTAAATCATTATGTTAAACTGTTCATATCATTACATCTCCCTTCCTGTGCCTAAACTGTCACTGTATGTAAAATAAAGATACCATACCATATGAACAAACTCTGGTGTTGTATACATTTTGTTGTGTTAACCTACTTTCCATTTCAGATGCACTTTTCCAGAACTAATGCTCAGCAGTGTCGCATTCATTCAAACTTTTCACAATAACTTCAACTTTTCACAATATATTCATCTGCCTGATGAACTAAATTTAGTGTATAAAATTAAACACTGAATTTCAGCTGTCACTGAAATAACTTGAAATTTAACTGTCACAAAACAAAAACTTGCATTAACTGAAAATTTGCTGACTATTTCCAACTTGAAATATATGTCTGTTCATGCTTCAATCAATTGCTGTGGCATTATGATCTCTCGACCCGTTCTGGTGATACAGGTAGGCTGGCTGTCACCAACAGTATTGGGTGTAGACGATTCCACTGGGATACCGGACTGCTGCTGAGTTGTCTCCCCTTGCAACTTCTGGGTTGACATCTCCACCTCTGGCCTTGGCAGAGGCTCGTTGGTCTTTAGCAATACCGATCGATTTCTCCGCAAATCAGACCCTCTGTCAGTCTGAATCATAAACGACCTGTTTGCGACTTCTCTGATCACTACCCCTTTTTCGCGCCAGATTTTTCCATCGTCGCTCAACACTCTAACACGGGAACCGGGTTCAAGAGCAGGAAGCTGCTTAGTTCCACGGTCATGATAGTGTTTCTGTTTCTTTTGCGACAACACTTTCTTCTTGACGACTCTCTGTCTGGTGTTTGTTTCCAGTAGGTTTGTACGAATAGGCAGATTTGTGCGAATTCTTCTACCCATCAACATCTGTGCTGGAGAATAGCCATTCTCCATCGGTGTACTTCGATAAGCAAGTAGTCCTAACTGAGGATCTTCGCCGCTTTCCTTGGATTTACGAATAATGTTCTTCACTGTCTGTACAGTGCGTTCGGCTAGTCCGTTGGACTTGGGGTATCTTGGACTTGAGGTAGTATGTCTGAAACCCCAGTCTTCCGAAAACTGTTTGAATTCAGCGCTGTCATAACATGGTCCGTTGTCTCCGAACACTTCCTCTGGTACGCCATGTCTGGCAAATGTAGACTTCAGTGAGTTAATCACAGATCTGCTAGTTGCGTTTGACAACACAGCGACTTCTGGATAATTCGAATACGCGTCAACTACTAGCAGATAGTCTCGACCACTGTATGAAAACAAGTCGGTTGCCAGTTTCTCCCATGGTCGACTTACAATCGGATGAGGATCTAATGGCTCTACTTGTTAACGGCTTTGATGTGTGAGACAATGTTCACAATCTTTGACCACATTGGCGATGTCGGAGTTCATCCCTGGTCAAAATAGGACTTTGCGTGCACATTTTCGACACTTCTCGATCCCGAGGTCTCCAACATGAATCTTTTTCAGCATTTCACTTCTGAGTTTTTTGGGAATTAAAATCAGCAGCAGCTGTAGATCTGCATCTTTCTGCATTTCATCCTGGATTTTTTTCATGCGTGACTCCGACACACTGGTTGTTGATTTGACTTCATCAATGTACGCTTGCACCTCAATGTCAATGTCACTGTTTCCTGTGTTCTTCATGTATGCACGTGACAATGTATCTGCTGCGTGCATGTGTTTCCCTGGTGTGTACGTGATTTTCAGGTCATACTTTTGTAGTCGCAATTTCAGTCGTTGGATTCTTGGCGGACAATCAGCAAGTGATTTTGCGAAGATAAACACAAGCGGTTTATGGTCGGTCTCTGCGATGATACTCTGTCCATAAATATACTGACTCGAATTTACAATACTTCAGAGTATCCTTTTCGATCTGAGCGGTAACGGGTTTCGGTCTCCCGTCATGGCTCTCGAAGCATATGCCACAGGAACACATTCACCATCCATAAAGCTGTAGCAATACAGCCCCTAAACCTGACTGTGAAGCATCTGTTGACATCTTTGATCTGTCTTTTTGGGTCATAAAACTCTCAGCACTGGTATCACCTAGATAAGCAAAGTCTCTTGAGTCGCGTCAGCGCTTCCGTCATGTTCGATTCCCACTGTGTTTTGTGATGTAGGAGTGATCTGAGCGGTGCTGTCTCCGTAGACAGATCAGGCACAAACTTTGCTAGATATGTCACCATTCCTAGGAATCTCTGCAATTCCTTCTTGTTGGTTGGTCTATCCATTGCATGGATTGCTTCGATCTTGGTGCTGTCAGGCTTGACTCCCTTGTCACTGATAACATCTCCAATGAACGTCAGTTCAGAAACACTGATAACGCACTTGTCTGCATTCAGCCTCAAGTTCTCTTCCCTGGCTTTGTCTAAGACACGCTTTAGACTGGCATCATGTTCTTCCTGAGATGCTCCCTGGATAATAACATCATCCATACTGGTATCAACACCTGGTATGTCACTGAACATGTTGTAGATAGTCCTATGGTAGACTTCTGGGGCAGAGGAGATTCCAAATGGTAGACGGAGATAGCGATATCTTCCAAATGGTGTGCTAAATGTGCATACCTTGGATGAATCCTCATCTAGTCGCAGCTGCCAAAACCCGCTGGATGCGTCCAACTTCGTGAATACTTTGGCTCCAGCAAACTTTGACATAATTTCTTCTCTGGTCGGAAGTTTAAAATGCTCTCGCCGTATGGCTTTGTTGAGGTTCTTGGGATCTAGACAAACACGAATCTGTCCTGTCTTCTTATGCACTATGACCAGTGAGCTGACCCACTCTGTCGGCTCGTCAATCTTTGTAATCACGTCAAGAGATTCCATTCTGTCAAGTTCCTCTTTGAGTTTATCATGCAGTCCAAATGGTACCTTTCTGCAAGGTTCCACAACAGGTGTCACCGCATCGTCAAGACGAATCTTGTGTATTCCGGGCAAACAACCTAACCCTTTGAATATATCTGCGTATTCTGTGCGTACACTGTCACAGAAACCTGAAGTCTTTCTCTTGTGTGATTCTGTGTTCACTGATTGCCTCTGTTCCGAATCTGTATTTATGTCTTCCTGATTCTCTGCATCCACTTGCCAAACACGTCGGACTAATCTCAATTTCTCACATTCTTGAAGTCCTAGAATTGGATGAACAGGCTCTTGCGTCACGATAAACAGTGCTTTGCTTACCTTCCCCTTGTGTTCAATGTTCATGATACATTGTCCCTTGACTGGCACATCATGACCAGCATAAGCTGTCAATTTCACTTTGCTTGTGTGCAACTTGGGTTTACGTCCTATGGAGCAAAAGTCATGTTCACTAATGATATTGGCATTAGCACCAGTGTCCAACTTCATAGGTAATACAGTACCATTAATGTCTAATGGAACTATCCAACTCTGTGATGTGTTAGCTGTGTTCACAGTATCAACAAAGAACTCGTCAGACTGTTCATTGTCAATGTCATACTCAGTCTCCACTGCGTGAACCTTCTGCCCTTGCTTGCGTTTGTCTGAGTTTGGGCAACATTTGATAAAATGTCCAATTTTCCCACACCTAATACATTGTTTACCATAGGCTGGACAGGCATTTGGTCGGTGCCTGTACCCACAAAACTTGCAACTATCCTTCTTCACTTCTTGGTTGCGAGAGTTATATCCCTTTGACTCGTCACTAGATTTCGGCTGTCGCTTGTATACGGCATCACACGATGTACAACTACCACTAGCACCCGCTGCTTCGCCACTCAACTGACCAACCTGTGAACGGGTGGCCTCTTCCGCCCTACAAATGTCTATGGCTTTCGCCAATGTTAACTTCTCCTCACGCAGAAGGCGTTGTCTCAGTGTGTTACTTGGTATCCCACATATAACTCTATCACGGATCAAACCGTCTTGCAAAATTCCAAATTCACACGTCTTTGCTCGCGTGCGTAATTCAGTCACAAAATGGTCTATGGTCTCACCTGGTTTTTGTACTGTTGTGAAAAACCGGTGTCTTTCGAACGTCACGTTCGTTCTCGGGATACAATAGTCCTTGAACTTCAAACGGATCTTGGCCAGATCATTTGCGTCACCTGCTTCGGCCCACGTGAAACCATTATAAACTTCCAGGGCTGGTTCCCCAATCACGTGCAGGAAGATAGCTGTCTGTATCGCATCATCCTTCATGGCCCCACCACTCGCCGCCATATACACATCAAACCTTTGCGTGAATCTTGTCCAGTTATCGCTGAGATTTCTCCCGGACAAATCCAACGGCTGCGGAGGTTTTAGTGAATGATTACAATATGGCGAACACTGCCGAGCAACTGACCACTGCGCATGTGTTGTGCGCAAGCATGGTATAGGGGGCGGTCCTAATAAAGTACAGTAAATCATTATGTTAAACTATTCATATCATTACAAAAACGTTTCCAATTGGTTTCATGGACGTCCAAAATGGACGTTTTTAAAACGTCCATTTGTGGAAGGTTTTGGACGTTTTTAAAACGTCCAAATGGACGTTTATAAAACGTTTTCTAAACGTTTTAAGAACGTCCAGAAAACCTTTTAAGAACGTAGAACGTCCAGAAAACCTTTTAAGAACGTATTTAGAACGTCCAGAAAACCTTTTAAGAACGTATTTAGAACGTCCAGAAAACCTTTTAAGAACGTATTTAGAACGTCCAGAAAACCTTTTAAGAACGTATTTAGAACCTTTTAAGAACGTCCAAAATCGCCTGTAGACGTTGAAAGAATGTGCAGCAAACATTTTAAACATTCTAGAACGTCCTACAAAAGTTTTACTTACGTCCAACATAGGGTGTATTTTAAATAAACGCTAGGTACACACACTTGATTGTTTTTGTGATTTTATTATCAAACATATTTACATTATTATCCAAGTTTGATTAAAATTGAAGTATATATTAGTCTTCATCAGAAGCTTCATCTGTGACTGGTTCACCTCGAGCTCCTTCACCTGTAGCGTTGCTTGTCAGATTTCTGCAATTTAAGGCAAGCAAACAAAATTCCAAACTTAGAAACACACATACCTTTTGTTGCTAAATAATTATAGGCTTCCTTAGCATGCGCAGTCAGAGAAATGTAAATAATGAAAATTGCCTAGCTACTGCAGCTAAATTTTCCTGGAAATCTACAGACCTTTGCTGTCTACAAAATAAAATTAGTTTATTGCGCCGAGGGTGACCAAAATTGCTGTTAAATCTCCAATGTCTAAATTTTGGAACCATGATTAATGCCTTATAGCTTAAAAAGGGGGGGTTAGCATATCATATTTTGTACAATAGTAGTAGACTTTGCCCTCTTTTAGGAATTACAAAAGAAACAAAGTGCGACTCATTTGATTGAGGGCTCCCTTTTTGTGAATTTAAAAAATATGCCAACTTCAAGGTCATGGATCAACCTTAGTCCCATCTAGGAGGATCCCCAACATTTTGTGTTTTAAGTGACCTTTACCTATATTTTTAGGGGTTATCCCAGAATTTTTGCTAAATCTGAGGGGTCGGGTGGCAAATTGCAAACTAATTGGTTGTTTTACATGGATTGTCCCACCATTCTTTCACATTGCTGGCCTGTGTTGCCAATTTGAAGAGCCAATGATAGTGATTACCGAAATATTATAAAGAATGTAATATCCTAAATGTTTTATGTTCTGACCAATTTTGCTCTGACTTTTTATTTGTGATGGAAATCCACATTCACTCGACAAATATGAACTGGATTTACCTTATATTTTTTTCCTCTGGGAAAAAGGCAGCTCGCTTCAGGAAATCCCCAATCCATTGCTCTATGTCGTCCTCCTTAGCACCTGCATTGGTCTTCAAACATGCCCCTGAAAACGAAGACATAAACCCAATAGAACATTATATAAATGGTGGTTTACCAGTTTTGTTAACTTGTTTCCTTATGATAGAAAAATTTCAATTTTGAAGGCATAAAATGTGATTTAAAAGACAAACTTGTACTTCAAAACGAATTAAACCCTAACTAGGCTCGGACGTTTCAGTCATTAATACAGCGAGGGGGGCCCTTCAGATCTCGACCATCGATCGCTGCAAAAATTTGCACAATTGTAGAGTGGGAAGTGATCTACAAGACTGTACAATTAATTTTTCCAAAATACTTTCTTTATTTTATATTGATTAACCCATTCTCTAAGAGATACTGAAAATTCCATAAACTTTGTACAGGGGTCACCAGGTTCCTGTAGTGAACAGGTTAAATAGGATAATTTATGCATGAAATCTAAATCTTTAAATAAAGGTCTCAAAATGATAATTTTTGGTGTAAATATTTCTTGTAGCATTCCTAACAGTTGTTCATCAAAATAATTCTGGTATAAAAATGGATTTCTTATGTTATTTATTGGTTTTACGAATTTCTTTGTTTTTCAACCTTTCGCTTTAGTTTTTTGGAAAAAATTTTCGCAGGCACTTGAAGCTTGAATATGCGAAAATGAATTAATTGCAGCCATTGAAAGTTAAAATATATTTATATCAATTAATGCTAAAAACACAATTTGTACACAAAATCACGTTTTAGAGCTGACATGCATACACTAAAGGTAGCGTAGCGTTGTAACAGCACACCCGAATTTCACAAAAATGATCTTAAAAGATGCGCAAGACTTGAAAGTAAAAAAGTCATCGAGCCGCACAATCAAAAAATTTCGCACGCTGGAATAATCAGGAAATTCGTCGAGGGGGAAGCATTATCCACCCCCGGCTTAGTTAGGATTAAACTGGAATGAAGCAGTCTGTTTACTGCACTAAACTGACACAGTTTCAAGATGAATCAAAACAGAGGCAAGTTTTATTTGTTTAAATATACCAATCAATCATGCTGATGGGCATATAACTTTCATGAGATCAATAGCATATTGAAGCGGCGAAATGAAGTTTAGATAACATAACAATGGTCAACAGCCAAACTGCTTCTAGCTTGATTTGTGTCAACTTTTGACTAATTTTATAGTGGTTAAAATTGTTTATTGGCTCTAGTTTTCATGTATAGTTCATTTTATGTTTGTACATGCTCTGTAGCATGCTGTATAAACTGTATGGCAAAAATTTTGCTTCATTTATTTCTATTAAACACTTCACATTTGAATTTAATATTTGTCAGGTGCTAACCATATAGTAACCTTGATATATAAACAAAATCAATGTCATTATTGGGCGGGTTTCCAATGTACCTGACCGAGGGGTAATAATACTTACTGTATTGTATTAGCGCTTAGAGACAGATCATGTGTTAAGTGCTATATAAAAACGGCACTATTATTATTATATTAATTAAAATCTGATGATTACATTTCTGCTTCCCTAAATTTCAAAAAGTACTGATGGGTATTTGATCCCCATACAACATGAGATTAAAAAAAAGATTCCATCTCTATTTTTCATCTAAAATAGGACAATAACAAAGCAATGCTTACTGACTACCGCATGGGTTGTGCTATGAAGTGTCTGTAAAAATTAATACAGACCGAGAATTGAGAAGTAGAAGCTTTATAGTGACCAAACCTTGTATAAAACAGTTGTCCGACCAAAATTCATACTGAAACTGTACAGTATTGCCAATACAATTGCATGTGAAATGGAAATATATAAATATCTCAAAAATTGAAGCCAACCAGCAATTTTAAGCATATTGGGATTCATCACATCAAAATCTATAATAATTGGCATCTTTCATCCCAGAGGCAGACAACTTCTGAAAAATTGTTGACCATTGTAATCGTACTAATTACTTAATCTCAATACTTACTGATGATGACGGGGTAGAACTTTGTCTTCTTCACCCCTAGTTTCCCCTTCCTCCCTTGCCTGTTAAAATGCGACCACAGATGATTCGATCCAAGTTTCTTCATTACCAGCTTAGCCGTTGCCTGGACATCTCGTCCACCAACTAGACTCAGGAAGCGTATCTGAAAATACAAGTACTTTTGCCATTTAATAATAATAATAATAATATATGGAGCCATTCCAATTGACCAAAAATATATAAATAAATAAATAAATAAATAAATAAAGACTTTTGAATGCATCGACTGTTTTCGTTCTTTCAGTGTGTCGATTCATAGACTGGTTTTGCAACAAATCTAAAAAAAAAAACCTGTTGTAATAAGGGTTGGGATAACATCTATTAATATAGCTTACCAGTCACTTTGAGGATTCTTACTCGATATCGTCCCCATACCTGCTTGTCTGGCATCTCATGCCGCTTGGCCTTTGCCGATTGTTTGTGGCCCTGCCAGTAGCTGTACAGATCCTAGATTTAAGATAAAAACGAGAATGTCAATGACATAGTGCTCATCTTAAATCATGAGAAAATTGTAAAATATAAATTTCATGTTCAGGAATTTTTTTAAATGATGTGTAAATTGTGTCTGTATCCGTATTGCGTGATAAGTACTTACGTACTGGGATATGTTACCGAGAAAGCGCCTAGGTTCAAGACAATATGCTAGTATTAAAAACATCATACATGCAAGTCATTATATATACACACTTCTAAACATTTCGAAATTGAATCAAGGTCATTCCAAGTTCCCATAAACTGAACGACGAATGACAAACTAACAAGTAATTTAACAACTAATTGGTCGGAGCATGTGTTAATTCCACACTATACATAGGCCTACAGTAGCAAGTGGTGTCATAGGTGTGATCGGTGAATGCAGTAATTATGTAGAGCAAACAAACTATAGGGTGTTTCAATCAATTCAATTCAAGTCGCTGAGAGCAAATGTCGCTAATAGTAATACTGTACATCATGTGATATGCGATATTATGTATGTAATAGGAAAATACAAGATATTGTTGTGTTTACTCACGTTTCACGACAAATACTATACAACAACAATAGTAGACATATTGACTTGCCTTCTTGTATGTTTTTTAAACACTGATAATGTGTATATTCGATGGATTAGCTAGATTTGTAATGATAACAATATAATTTCTGCTTACCGATTATTTTCCGCTGGCGTCGTTTTACCCATAATGCGTTGCGCGGTTGCTGTGCGATGAACATATATGACGTATGCATAGCTATTTATTTATTATGTATTTATTGAAGATAACATAATGAACATAATTAACATGATTAACATAAGAAGTCAACATAATAAGAATTGATTTAAATTTTAACTAAAAACAAAAAGTGGTCAATGTTTGATTTCTTGTCGATGTCGAGGTGACATTTGATTTCTATCAAATGTCTCTGCAACATTTGTTGATTGATGTCGCACGGACGTCGAAATCACATCAATCGACGTTATGTTCTAAAAACGACCAATATTCGATGTCGACTCGAGGTGCTGTTGCCAACTGGGGGAGGGGGCGGAGAGGGGGGGTCCGCAAACAAAGGGTCTCACTGGCTTACGAAGGGTCTCGCTGTCGAACAAGCATAAAATCAAACAAACAAAAAAAAAACACCTCCATCTCTACCTAAAATTGCCTCTCCGCGCGTCTACAAAAAAATCAGATTTGCGGGAGCAGAGGGCCACCTCCCTCCCCTTTGGATCCGCCAATGTATATAAATCAATTTTGAATCCATTTTGTTTTAAGAAAACCTGGCTGACAAGCAAAATAAAAATACACCCCACCTCAAAAAAAATCATCACTGATATCAGAGGGGGATAACAACAAAAAATTACTGGGGGAGGTCCCCTTTGAATCCGCCAGTATCTATAAATCCATTTTTGTGTGTCTAAACTGTACATGGGAATATTGATTATGAAGAAGAGGATCGGACGTTCTAAAAACGTTCTTAAAACGTCCGAAAAAACCTAAATTTAGCGGAAAATGTTGGACCAAAGTGGACGTTCTAAGAACGTTTTTTAAACGTATGCAAAAAACCTAAATTTTGCGGGAAATGTTACGTCCAAAATGAACGTTTTAAGAACGTTTTTAAAACGTTTGATAAGGACGAAGACGAAACAGGACCTAAAAAGAACGTCCATAAAACGTTTTTTGGACGTTCAGTGTTACCTGGGCAATAGGTTTATTGCAAAACTAGTGTTAACAACGTTACAATTAAAATAAATTTTGCAAACAAGATATCATCAGGCATTATAAAACTGAAATTGATAATATTTACAATAATATATGTTTCATGGTAAGACATAGATATCACTTAAAATGTTGCTTCGTAAAATTATATCACTAAACTAAAAACCAAAATTACACGTATTCATGTACATTCATGTACATCTGCTAGTGATCCAACAAGTATCCCACGCCCAAAATAGTTCTAACACCTCGCAACACACCTTACCATATAGTGCGGTACATCGCGCGCGTTTGTTGACATATTAGCTTTGTGACGTCAGGATGAGAGGAGTTCGCGCGTTCTGCGATGGTAACCTCGTAATTTCTCAGAATTTCTCAAGGTGCATGGAACATTTTACCAATTTAGTGGTGTCAGCTAGTCATGGATATGTCGCAGTAAGTACTAACAATAGATATATCATATACGTTCACCCATTTTGCAAACAGGCAGTCACTCATTGTGAAAAATAGAAAAACGCTGATTTCTCCGTTTCGATTTCTGACATAGTAGCCGATATATAAATGGATATTTCTCTGTGATTACAACTCGGATTAATTTAATTTTACACTCGTTTTAATCGTAACATATTGTGGTAAAAAAGCGCGTCGGGGATTGTTATTAACTGCCGTACTTTATTAGATATGCTTCTTTATTCGCTAAAATTTTCTATTTTAACACAATTTGATTTTTAAGCAGTTTTTTCGAGTTTTCTCGG